ACTCCACCCCCTCTCACAGGGTCTTTTTCACACATCGACAACTTGTACTGCCTTGCTCCCTCTTGGAGCAGGCCCCATAGGCTATAAGTTTTAGCTAGGTCATACCTTGGGTGGCAGACATACTGTCTTTTGGGCCTCTCCTGTGCCCCTCACTGGGGTAGTGCCTAGCCAATTACCTGACCGCATGTAAGCTTGCCCTGGCTCCTTTTAGGGCAACTCTATATATTCATACATACTGGGATGCCAGCCCTCTGGTTTTTCCCCTCACTGGGGCTCCACACCGCCCCTCACTGGGGCTGCCCCCTCACTGGGGCCACGGGGCTTCCCTCCCTGGTGGGATCAGGTGGCCTCAGCCATGCCTAGGCCCCAACTACTTCTGATGATAAATGACCCACCCAAAGGTGAGGGCTGGGGTTAAGGTGCCCCGACCCACCTTTCACTGGGGTGGTAACTAGCCTGGTATTTCCTGGGGGCTCCTGCACCACTGAGAGCCCCACCAGGCCACCCACTCCTGGCAGGGTGCAGTTTTAGGCCATGTCCAGGAGCAAGAGCCTCCAAATATCCCCTACAGCTCCTGCCCTTACCTTCAGGATGTTGCAGCCAGACAATGTTTCTGCCTGGCCTGCCAGCAGGGAACTGCTCTGTTTATATAGGTGGCCAGAGATCTAAAATGGCCACTGCAATCAAGCATCTGCTGGCTGCTCAGCTCAGCTCTTAAAGTGGCAGGCACTAACAGCTCAATACAATCAATACCTGCTGTACACCGCAGAGCTATTTTCACAACAGCAATTAAAGCCTTGATTATTAAAATAGTTAAACTTAATATGAATATGTTCTATTTATGTAATATATTATTGAAATAATCATTCCTTAAATAGGAAAAAAAATGCAGTGCATTCAGAAATTGGAACTACTGCATCGTCAGCTTAATTCTCCATGATTATTCTTCATGGAATTATCGATATTTTCTTGTTCTCCAGCAGGAAGTAACCCAAAGGTAACACAATTTAATGACCTCTTACTCAGATCCACAGCAGATTCCAGCTGCATGCAGAGCCCTTTTTATTTTTCAGCAGTGGTAGTGCATAATGCTATACAAACCTGCATTACCTCCTTCTGAAAAACAGTGTACAACAGACAGGATTTTTGTTGATTCTTTAAAGGGAGACTTCCATTACTTCTGCTTTCTAAAAGCCGGTGTCTTATCAGCAGGGATCCTAGTTTTCTGTTTGCCACAGAAAAACACAGAATCTGCATTTTCCCACCATCTGCCAAAAGCCAATCGGCAATGGGGGGAGGAGTAGAAGGGAAGAGGTGGAAGGAGGTGTCACTGCTGGTTGGCTGGGAAACAAAAACTGCAACAAAAAATAAAAGAGAGTAGGAATGGTGCCACTCACTGTGGGATGCCACTGCACTTTCAGTAGGTTGTAGAAAAATGCAGATTTTTGTGTTTTTTGAACAGATTTCTTCACTTTTTTTTCCCCACAGAAAACTAGGACCCCTGCTTATCAGCAGTTAAAGAAAGGAGAGGCATCCGTTACATCATTACTTGATGATGTGACTGGGAGAAAACCTTTATGTCTTTCAAATGTGCTGTGGATATTCTGATTGTTCGCAGCTGTTATGATGGTAATAGATTTAATAAGTTTCTCATGAGGGTGTGTGAGAGAATTGTGCAATAAGACAGCTTGATGCATTTGGGAGACGAATTCCTCTTATAAAATGTGTGTGTCCCTTCCGTGTTCAAGAAGCCTCTGAAACAAATGTCAAGATAAATAATAGTAAGGGTATTTAAGGTAAAAGTCTGTTTCTACTGCTCTTGAGCAGAAGCTACTGGCATATTATGGTTCCCTGATCAAGCACTAAACTACACCCCATTAAAAACCAGGTATATTAGTCTAAAGTCAGACAGAAGGCAGGGCAGGGTAGCATCTTAAAGATTCATGCCTCTTGAATTCTTTGGGGGTTCTTTGGAGTCTTTGAGGGGGCCTACTTGAGTTATTTGGGGGTGTCAATAAGCAGGTGGACCAGGGTGATCTGGTTGACATAATATATCTGGACTTCCAAAAAGTCTTTGACAAGGTCCTCCAGCAGAGGCACTTAAGGAAATTAGGTAATCAGAATTACAGCAAAGGTCCTCTCATGGATTAGAAATTGGCTTAAAGATAGAAAACAAGGTGAAAGTATAAATGGTCAGTTTTCAGGTTGGAAAGAGGTAAACAGTAGGGTCTCCCAGGGATCTGTGTTAGGTTAAATGCTCTTTAACATATTCATAAATGATCTGGGAAAAGGGGATGAATAGCTAATTCACCAAATTAGTGTTGATGACAAAATTATTCAAAGTGGTAAAGACCAAGGCAGTAGACTGTAAGGTATTACAGAAGGATCTGGTACTTTTGAGTGAATGGGCAACTAAATGGCAGATGAAATTCAATGTAGATAAATGTAAAGTGATGCACATGGGCAAAAATAACCTAAACTATACCTACACTAATGCTCTACATTAGTTGTTACCACACAGGAAAGAGCTCTGGGAATCATTATGGACAGTATGCTAAAAACATCAGCTCAGTGCTCACTCAGCAGCCATCACAAAGGCAAACAAAATGTTAGGGATTATTAAGAAGTGAATTGTAACAAAAATGGAAAGCATCATCATGCCTCTTTATCAATCCATGGTGCATCCACACCTTGAATATTGTTCCGAACTCTGGTCTCCACACCTCAAAAAGGATATAGAAGAACAAGGGAAGGTCCAGAGTAGGGTAATAAGGACAATTAGTGATATAGAGGGGCTTCCATATGAGGCAAGACTAAAGAGGTTAGCCCTATTCAGTTTAGAAAAGAGACACTTGAGGGGGGCCATGATAAGGGTTTACAAAATACTAAATGGAGAAGAGAAAGTCAATAAAGATTTATTTTTCACTCTCTCATACAATACAAGAACTAGGGATCATAAAATAAAACTAGTAGGTAGTAAGTTTAAAACTAACAAAAGGAAGTTTTTTCACACAGCATGTAATTCAAGTGTGAAACTCATTGCCACCAAATGCTGTGGAAGCTGACAGTTTATCCAGATTCAAAACGGAATTGGAAAAAATTTTTGGAGGAAAGGTGCATCAGTAACTATTGCGCATGGGAATTAGGGGTACAGCCTCTGAATCAGAACTTCCTAGACCTTAGATGTTGGAGGCTGCCAGTGAGGGAGGAATAGTGGAAAAAGATGTGGTCACACCCTGTTCACTCTCCCTTCCAGCATCCACTCTCTGCCACTGTGTAACACAAGGTACTGGGGAAGATGGACCTATGGTTTGATCCAGTAAATGGCGGTACTTATGTTCAAAGATACCATCTTACTAAGTAGATTGTTGCCTACAAAAGCTCATGCCCATCTGGACCAGTTTGTCTCTAAGGCCTCCTCTGCACATGAAGATAAAAGCATGCTCAGATCTAATGTGTGATCCACATAATCGTGCTTCCTGCCACGCCAGGCACGTGTGGGAAGAGGCATGATTGTGGGATTGCGCATTAGAGCCCATTGTGTCTCATTGCTGGTATAGAGGAACCCAATCTTGGGCACCCCCTGCATCAGTCTAAATTTATTGCACAGTTAATGAGGAAATAACATAATAGTATAACATGTAGAGGGGGCTTTAGGTACCACTCTACCCTGCCCTCTGCATAATTTATTGTAGAAAGTACCTAGATGAGTGAACTACAAAGATATAATGGCAATTAAGAGGAAAAAAAGAGAAAGCCAGACAGATATATAGGAAATAGGCTGGAAAATGTTTAATCATGCTAAAAATACTATTGTACAAGAGAAATCAGAAGTACATACTGGATATTGTGCTATATTCTGGTCATACTTTGAAAAAGTTTATAGGGGAATATCTGAAATAGATAAAAACAAGAACAAAAGTATTCTTAGAATCATGGAAAACCTTTTATGTGAAGAGTGACGGGATTGGAGCTGTATACTTTAGAAATATGACATCTATGCAGAGGTGTAGGAAGCTCTTACCCTGCTCTGAGCACTGAATGGATGGTGGGGAAGGAATGTGCTTACTACCGGACAGTGAGGGAAGGGTGTATTACCTACAGGGCTCTTTTCACTTGAGCAGCAGTCGCTATTGCTGTTGCTTGTCTCCTAGCAAAATGTGCCACTGAGGCAGCTCTCAAGAGCTGTTCCTGGTGCCCCATTTGCCCCCTAGCCCCGGGGTCAAGGTTGCAGTTCCCATGGCAAAGCATCATTCTACTGAGCATGGTGCTGCACCTGCTCAGCTCTGTGCCTGCCACAGGAAAGACTTCTAAGAGGGAGAGGGTCAACCTGGCACCCTGTCTAAATTGGCGCCTAGGGCTAGTGCTCCTCTTACCCCACCCTTGTTACATAACTGCTTAAATGAGGGCATGGTGAAAATAAACAAAATAAAGAATAGTATAGAGGGGCACAGTCAAGGAGACAGAAAGGCAGCAAATCTAAACTTTAAGATGACAGTAACTCTATATATTAGCAAACCAGAGAGATCATTGGCACAAAGTATCACTGAAACCCAAACTGATCAGGATTACAAAGGTCTGGACACTGATATGGATGATAAAAATATCCAGTGTTAAAATAATATTTTTAAAGTATCTAACGCCACACACGCCTGTTTTTTTAGAGCATAAGGTAACCTCTAATGGGAAGTAAAGAAGAAACTATCCCTATGGATCATTCCATAACAGTCTACAGTACGGTTTGTAACATCTTCCCCTGACATAGTGATTCCAGTCTACTGTTAAAAGACAGAATTCTGGACCCAGCGTGACCCAGTTTGGTAGTTTCTCTCTGCTTAAGATTCTTTTATTTAAAGTAAAAATAATATAAGCATTGAAATGATAGAAGTTTTAATCATATAGCTGTGACTCACTGGTCCAAGACACTTTTTCTGTATCCTTATACTTTGCTTCCCAGTTACCTTGATGTTCATTGGTCAGAGCATTTCTTTTTCCTACAGTTATTGAAGAACTATCACAAGTGGAGAGCTGAATGCCCAGAAATAACTGCAGATTTACAGCCATCTTCTATTCTCAATCTCCTGCGTGCTGGTTACCATGGAGTTCTGCGATCGAGAGACCCACATGGCAGCAGAGTTCTGATTTATAGGATTGGTAAGTAACAGCCATTTATTATAGCATAGGGCTTTCTTACACTTTGGTGTTACTACCAGTATAAACATTTTTATTAGGGTTGAAATTTTTCTATTGTGATAGTTTTACTGGTACAACTGCTAGTTATATCACTATATAATTCAGTACTCTACTATACTGTATTAGTTATTTTCCCTGCCTTATAGGGAGTATTGCAATAAACACTTTCATACCAATATAACTGTGTCCATATTGAAGTCAGGCTGGGACAAGTAGGATCTGTACTGTTTTAACCATAACATTGTATAGATAAAGGGGTATAATTTTTGTGTATAGACTGGTCTTTATGCTCAACGGCTAAATGAAAACAATTTCCAGTTGGATTCAAGGCCAACTTCAGTGGCAAAGGTTAGAAAAGGGGTAAGGTTAAACAGGAAATCCAATATTTCCATAATATTGTGTGGGTGTGTGTAGCTACTTGGGTATCTAGTGAGGATTCCAATGGCAAGCAGACATCCAAGGGATTTTAAAAACTATTTGGAAACATCCAAATTGTCTTGGTACGCAGTATCAGGAACACTCTGAGGGCCCTTGATCTATTGGATGGTAGTCTCAAATAGTATTTTCTGAACTGCCAGAAAAGCTGCTGAAGACACTCAACAGATAATGATGTCAATGACATAACAAAGCAGAAACTAAAAACATAGGGTCTCAAGTTTCTACCCCACCTATCTGCCTCTCACCTACTGACTACTTCAATTTGGATTTTCACTGATTGGCTTTCTCACATGCATACCAGCCTCTGGCTTCTTTATAATTCCATCCAGGAAGAGCACAGACCAACTGCAGGCACTTCTTCAGCCCGACAAAGGGTACCTGTACCCAAAAGCTTGCAAAGAAGAATTTTTCCAACTATTTGAATTGGTTTAATAAAAGATATTGGATTTACCCAAAGAACCTTGTCTGTCTATGTCCCTAGACCAACACAGCTACAACCTATACCCCTGAATTGAAAAACTCATTTGACAGATTCTGGAAGCACTTAAGTGCCACAAACATTTTTAAATGTTTGCTCTTCAGCCACTTAAAGGTATCATATTCAAAACAATTGGATAAAGTGTTGTTCACTTCCTGTTAAACTTGTGTGTGAGTCAGTGTTAAATTGCTGTCTGCCTTTTTAACTACTGTATTTAATATCACCCCACCATTACTGTTATTGTTGTTTACTTCTCTTACAGGAGATCTTAGAAACCCTAGTCAAGGATCAGAGACACACTAAGTGCTAAAGAGAGACCAGTAATGCAAGACTTATCTTCACTAAGAAAAGAAGTGTATTTTTAATGTGTTGGCCAACTTGTTCAAATCTTAGTATAGACAAGGCAAGTTGTAGTTTTAACATGTTAATTTGTCAAGGGTAACTCTAGTCATTTTATTTCTAGATGCTGTACTGAGGAGTTTGGTGAGGTTCTTCCCAATAAGATTTTTACTTTCATTGACAAACTAGATAATTCTCAAAGCAAACATTTTGTTAAGCTTCGAAACAGGCTCTCTCTTCTTAGGAAAAATTGACTGCTGAGAGTCTGAGTGACCAGGCAGAGCAGAAGATGAAAGGTGAGCCAGACCAGAGGTACCATGACTTCTGAACAGACAAAATTATCCGTTGCAGGATCTGAGAAGTCTCAAAGGGAAAGAAAATGACACATACACTCTGTATGCAGTTTACTTTTATTTTTTGTACTTGAGGAACTAATTAAAAGCTGTTGCAAGCGGAATTGTGTCTTGACACAATATCCATTTGGTAATGCAATGCAACCTATTTGCTATTTAGGACAATGGGATCCCAAGATGTTTACAGCATATGATGTGTTTCGCGTAAGTCTTATTACATCAGAGCTCATCGTAAAGGAGACAGAGACACAGAGGAATGGAGTCAAGGCAATTTTTGATCTTCAAGGGTGGCGATTTGCTCATGCATTTCAAATCTGTCCGACAGTGGCCAGGAGGATTGCTGCCGTGGTCACAGTAGGCTTGATACTTCTTTCTACTTGCTTTATTGCCAAAGATGGCAAAAATTCCTTGTGATTAAAACCTTGCAGAGATCATGCAGCTTGAAGGAACAAAACAACTGTGCTCTTCAGGCTGATATTTTTCATGGAGACTTTTCTTCTGTTCTTGCTTGGAAGTTAAGGTCCTTTTTATCCCCATACCCTCTTTAGGCAGTGACTCTTAACAAGGGTGATGGGGCACCTTGAATGCCACCAGATCCTTTGAAGGGTACTATGAGGTGTGATTTTTATCCCATTGTTAAAAAGTTCCTGAAAACAGTTGCATTTAGCAAGTTTGATTTTTAATCTAGATAAGAGCACATCAGTTCAAAATCACAAGAGAAGAAAAGTTACTGTAACACTGATGGGGAAAACATTTGTGACTGCTATTGTAAGTTGACTTTGGTGAGAGGGAAGAAACTTGTAGTCAGCAGAGCTGTAGCAGTGAAGCAGGGTTTGAAAGCAGGCTGCTCTTCCTCTATTCCAAAGGTGTCTTAAAGATACAGCCCATTGAGCTGTATCATCCAGCCGCTGGTGCTTCCTGTGGGTCTCAGTGACCCACAGGCACCATGCAGGACAGGCTGGATGCCCTGTGTACCTGCTTGCACTCCAGAGCCCTGGTTGAGCGGCCACCATGTGCAGCACAGCACCGTAGTGACTGCCTGCCACTGCAGGGCCATGCTGCGCTCAGTGATCACTCTGCGGCTCCAGGGCACTACAGTCTCATAGTGGCAGCTCCAGGGCCATGCAGCACAGCCCTGGAGCAACCAGAGCAAGACTGGGCTGCACACACTGCCCACTCCAGCTGCTCCATGACATGCACTAGATCTGGAGTGCAGGGCTGGTCTGTGGGTGCGACACCCCTGCTCTGATCCAGATAAAGTATCTTTGAACACTAGCCATATTTCCTTTCAGCTGTGGCACTCTAATTAATTTTTAATACAATTAACATTTTATATTATGGAGGTTATATGGCAGCTAAATTTTTCAGTTCTCACAAGGGTAAAACAAATTCACCTCATGACTCAGGCAAGACTCCCCTTACAACCAGAATTTTTCCAAAATTATGTCATAAAAACAATTTTTGTAAGTAAATTTCAGTGATTTATATTTGATTCTAAGTGTTTCTCCACGTTCATTTTGATTGTTTTTTAAAGAAAAGATTCTTTCTTGATGCTCTAAAAAGCTACTTTAAACTCTTTTGACTCACTGTTTTGAAAATAAATAGTTCATTTTAGGCAAATCTTCCCCTCAGCCCTAACAGAATTTGTCATGTGAGTTGCCAAGGAAAGCTGCTGGCTGCCTGGCTTTTGGATACCTTTGTCATACATTCTGCATTGCACAGAACTGGAAGCTTGTGGAAAGGCCAGATCTAATGATAAAGCAAATCATGTTCCTTCTTACTGCAGTGATTTCCTCCCAATGCAATTAGAGGAATTAGTTTAGACTTCTTTTTTCTGAAGTTTAAAAGCAACAAATTGTAAACGGTAAATACAGGTTTCCCTCGCTTTATGCAGGTTCTGTATGTGCGAATTCACTCTCATGCGATGACCTTTTTATACCAAAAATTCGTTATATGCGAGGTAAATTCACTCTTATGAGATGGATGTGGTGGAAGCCCGCAGTCAGCTGCTTTGTGCGGTGCATTGCGGGAGTGACACGCACCAAAATATCATCTCCTGCGTGAATCTGCGCTCCTCACTCATTTTCTGTAACATGTTTCTGTAGTCGCCATCCCCATTATGGCTTTTAAGCGTCCCTCTAGCTTATCTTCAGCTGTGCTGTTGGTGAGTACCAAAATTGTCTTGTAAAAGAGGTAGAAATGGGTCTGGGGGTCAGAACAATCAAGGTCTTGGAACGTATTCCTATTTGTTACATTGTAAAGTGGGTTCCCTTTGTGTGAATTTGAGTTATACGCCATTTTCCAAGAACACATGTACAGCATAAAGTGAGGGAAATCTGTACTCTAAGCAAGAGTTAACAAGGTTGGGGGAGGGGGTGCTCTAACCTATGCACTAGGCTGCACTTGGCCATAAGAAAACCATCTTCCTAATAATTTCTCTTTTTTTGTTGTTGTTATTTTGACAGGATTCCTTTCCACTAAAGGTTCGTGGCATCCACTTGATTAATGAGCCTTTATTTTTCCACCCTGTCTTCAGTCTAATTAAACCTTTCCTCACTGAAAAAATAAAGGAACGGGTGAGTAATCATAAAAATTTCTTTTCTTCCACAAAAAAATTACAGCCATCAAACTTTCATGAGGACCTGGGTCACTAGTGCTTGAGCACTGAATGGCCTAAGTCAGATTTATACTTTCATTTTGATAGAGATTTTTGTAGAAGAAAAATTCTGTATAAATATTAATGATCTGAGAGTGGCAAGAGGTTGGTATCATCACAGTTTTCATAATAAGGAATACAGCAAGCCTTCAGTAGAGGTAGGACTAGAGACTTGGTCTCCGATCCTTTCTTTTAAATTCTAGTGAATGTTATTCATTGAGCACTAACATTATGCTCCATGTACTGCAAACATAGTGGAAGACACCACTACATAGCGCAGACCAGCCTCTGGCTTCTTAGCTATTCATTCCATCCAGGAAGAGCATATATCAACTACAGATGCTTCCTCAGCCTGACAAAGGGTATTTATACCCAAAAGCTTGCAAATCATTTTTCCAACTATTTGAGTTGGTCTAATAAAAGATTTCAGATTTACCCAAAGAACCTGTGTCCTTAAACCAACCCAGCTACAACCTATATCCCAGATGAAAGACCAACATAGGCAGGCCCACAGTTGATGAAGTGGAACAGAAGAAGTTTGGGATCAATAAGACCACTTAAAGTGAGCCCAGGCTCATGTGGTCTGGGGAAGAGGCCAGCAGGACTGGCTTCAAGAGGAACAGATGGTGCTATCTCACTCCCTCTTTGCTCCCAATCATGGAGTGTTGACAAAAAGACAGTTAACCACCTGTTCACTTCATTATGCTTTTATTCCTGGAAGTTGTTGTGCCATTTTTGTCTGCAGAAAATTCTTGTTAAATGTTAACAATCAGATGCTGGCTATTTAAGCAATGGGAGCAGTGAGTGAGGCATCAAAATACTGTAAGCCAGTGTTGGAAAAATCACCAAAAAGAAAGCTTTTTTTACTGTAATGACAGGTTAAAACATCTGAATTCACTTGGAAGCAGGGGATCTGATTTCCGTTGGAATCAAGTATCCAGGCACTTCTGAAAATTCCACTAGATGCCTATCTGCCTTTTTTAGCACTTAAATATCTTTAAAAATGTGATACTTTCTATCTGATCCTCTTAGGCCAACCACCTTTCATACTGGTTTGCATATTCATAGATTCATAGATGCTGGGATTGGAAGGGACCTCAACACATCATTGAGTCCGACCCCCTGCCTAGGCAGGAAAGAGGGCTGGGGTCAGATGACCCCAGCCAGATGCCTATCCAAAATGATCAAACTTTTGTGCATGATCAGACCTTTAAGGCTGGTCTTCATACACTTTAATTATGTGGATATACAAGGCTTTCTCTAATGAAAATAATTACATTAGTGCAGAAACAGCACATAGAGCAAGGTTTTGTTGCTATGCTTGCAGCTATGTAAAGTACAGTTCCCTGAAATTTCAGCATCTCTCAGGATTGCATTTCAAAGAGGAGGTAGTCTGAGACAGCCACAGCATATTCACACAGTGAGAACTTCTTTTGAATATTTTGTTGCATAGCTATTGACAAGAACAACAGTGAAAACATTTTGTGAAAACTAGCTTGTTTCACTTCTCACACCAATGGTTGTTGGCTTGTTTAATATCTTCACACAATACTATGGGATTCAAGCAGAAGTAAATGTGTATCTGATAAGCCTAGAAAGCCATTTTCAAGCCACCTTTCTGGTTTCAGGTACACATGCATGGCAGCAATTACATACAGAGCCTGACTCAACACTTTCCAGCCAGCATTCTTCCACAGGAATATGGAGGGGAGGAAGTCTCCATTGAAGACCTTGCTCAGGAGTGGACTGACTTTATAATGGAATCCGCAGAGTATCTTCAGAGTATTTCTCTTGTGTCCCAGTGAACCAAACATACAAAAATAACATCTCAGTTTTTAGGTTGCTCATTAAAATAGAGAGCAGCAGTTAGTTCCTTGCATTCAACTGCAATCAGAAAAAAAATGTAATCAGATGTCTTTCATGTAAATTTGAAATGATTGTAAACAAGACATTGGGAGCTGTAATGCCCCAGTGACTGCATTCTTATGTTAGCGTGAAGAGATCAAGTATTTACATCTCTGGACTAAAAGTTTCATGAGTTTCACATTTAGTGGGATAATATGCACTACTGTTTGTAACAGATTAAATTATATGCCTAGAGGCTGTATAATGCTACATGTAGGATATTGCAGAGATCAATATTCTTCTAGATATGTCCTCATGGAGCACTAATCTGTGATGGTTCAATATAGACCATATGTTTAGCTCTTGCATTAAGACTCATCAAGTTGATGAGGGGCTAAGATAAAGAGCCAAATGATTTCAAGAACTGCAGAGCCATCCTGATTAGAGCAAAACAGTTTGGCTTGGATGCAGGATTATACAAAGCAGTGATTTTTTTTTCTCAGGGCTCTTGTCTATCTGAAGGGGGGGGGCCAAGAAGGGATGGTTTTTGGACTGATTCTCAGGGAAACTGTTTTTCATTCAGTTTGCCCAGCTGGGCCTGCACAGTTTGGATGGTGTTTAGTCTGCAGTGGTGGAACACTGCTGTGCCATCCGCTGCAATGAGCAGCTCCTATCTGTGGGAGTACTTGAGATGATAACCTAACACTGTGAAGGGAGAATGGGGAAATGCAACTTAAATGCTGTGGAAAGACAATGTAAATCAGAAAGCAGGAGGTATAAATAAATTGAGATTTGAAACCTGATGACTGATTCTCCCTCTAACAGACCATCTCTTGGGGAATTTACAGAGCAGTTCCCTATGAAGTAGTAAATACCTTTAACTTCCTTTCATTCCTGTTTTCCTGATCTCCTGCTGTTTTCCTTTTCACTAACAGCCTCTTTTCTACCTTGTATTCTATCACTGTAATGCCTCCCTTCAGCCCTTTTCCCCCACTGCTCTCTTCCCCCTCCTCTCTCTGCTTTACCTTTTGTCTTTCTAATTTCTACCTATTTACATTCTCACTGACATCCTGACACACTTTTAGCTTCTCTCATTTCTTGGAGTCTCAGACCAGCAGAGACTTCCTATGCCTGAAGAAGGGTGTGTGCACCCAAAAGCTTGCCAAGAACTTTTTTCCAACTGCTCAGTTGGTCTAATAAAATATATTACGTCTATTCAAAGATCCTTGCCTGCCTATGTAAATAAAGGGTGCTTAGCAAGTCACAGAATCAGGCTGTTAAAGGGAACAAAGTAGATTTTCCCTCATGGTGGAGAAATAAAAGCTACTGGCCATAGTTATTATATTTCTTCAATATTAATGCTTTGGAAAGAGATCACAGAAAGTCATTTCCAATTAACTGAAAATTTAGTTTTCCAGTGAAGATAACATTTTGTATGGCTTTTGCTTTACCTAGCAGAAGTAAACGTTTTTGTTAATTATAAACTCACAGCCCTAATTGTTTCACATGGCCTCACACATTATATAAAGGCAAAATTTGGCTTCATATTTTGTGGAGCAGTGTTACCTTTTTTTTTGCACCAGACCAGTGAAATAATGTGTCCTTTTTTTAAAACTGAATGCTTATGAGTAAAATGGTACTCTGAATGTTTAACACAGTCAACATAATGTTAGCTGTAAGTACGTTCTTGGGATTCAAATATGTTTTTTAATGTTTTCACCCATTATATAGCCCAAATTACTCAGATGTCGCTAGAGAATTTTGTAAGACAGGTGGAAAGGCTATTATTAAGATGAATGGATATGAAGAGACTTGAACTGCAAAGTAAAAAACAGTCTGCACATATATTATTCCCACTAAAATTGCAACAGGAGTGCCTTTTTTTAACAATAACGTGCTATCAAATGTCAACACAAATATAATTTTGCTACTGACTATAAATGCACTATAATGCACAATGTTTTATAATTTTGTACATATTTTAATATCTCTATATTCAGAAAGTAAACAGAATAAACCATTTCTAAGGGATCTGTGCTGGCTTTTTTTTTCTTCAAATGCCCAGATATTATCATCTTCCAATTATAGAAGCATTCATTTTCCAAGTAGCTTCTCTAATATTTGACCTATTAATCACAAAAGTACATTGTTAATACAAGTCCAAACTAAATGAAAATGGAAAACTTTATTCTTTAATTGATAAAACAGTAGTTTGGGGTTGTTGGAGGGTCTGTTCTACTGTCCCTACAAATGGTAACATATGCATAGAGCTACCATCAGCAACCCAGCTGAACACATCAAGAAGAGGTTTGATTTTTCACTGCTTAGTGACTATTTCACACCTGATGCCCTGGCAGCCCATTCAGAGTCCCTTCTCTCTACACCAGATCTTCTGGAATATCATGCAGGTTACTTAGCCTTGAGCTACTTTTTGAGACAAAGGAGTCTGCCCTGGCAAGGGCAATTTAAACTTTAGTATGTAGTTCTCAAAACCCATATAAGCACATTTGCCAGTCCTACTTTCACAGTCAGAGGCCACCTATACTCAGCATTTATCTACCTGATCCACACACAAATCCTTGTTCTCTGCCATCAGCAGTGTACATGCATCCTGCCCTAATCCTTCACAGGAAAATATTCTAATGTAACCTGATGGCTTCCCTCCAGGGAAATTCCCACTTTTCCTTTTTACTTTCTGAGCAGTCATTTCCTAGACCAAGTTTTTCCTTGGTTTGAACAGTCTCAACAATGCTGCAGCTAGTAGAGACATAAAGCAGTTGCAGTAGTGGCAAAAAAGTAAACTTGCTTTTATTTTGCATGCAGAGGCTGATTCCACAGCTCTTACCTCTGTAAACAGCCCCAACAAAGTCATGTTTTAAGTAGTTAATGTTTGTATAAAGTGCCAGATTAGGAGCTTGGGAGCATCTCTTTATCTTCCGGACAGAGTAGCATTTATTATCTTCTATTGTTTTATGTAGAGCATAACATTTACAAACCTTTCCTCTCATAAGGAAATTGCAATTTAGGGTCTGATTCTGAAATGCACCAGAGAGCTATAGATCTCTAGTAAGAGGTGTGGACACAAGAATAACAGTAAATGCTTGATTTTAAAAGACAGGGTCCTAGTAAGTGAAGTAACTAGATTGAGACTCATGCATAGAGAAGGCCTGGGATTTTAAGATCTAAAGATATAAAAAATTATTTAGGGTTGCTGTTTGTAGCCATGTTGGTCTACAGACACAGGCAGACAAGGTTCTTTGGGTAGATGCAATATCTTTTATTAGACCAGCTGAATAGTTGGATATATTGTTCTTTGCCTGATGACTTGCAAAGAACAATTTTTCCAACTATTTAGTTGCTCTAATACAAGATATCACATCTACCCAAAGAGCCCTGTCTGCCTAAAAATTGACTGGAACTCATAGCCCTAGCAATGGGAGAAGCCTTGTAAAGTAGATGAAGTAGCACCCCTAGAAGGATAAACAAGATGAGGAAAAAAAAGGACAGATCAGCAAAGAATGCTACATCTTTGAAATCAAGTGAATAAAGTGAGAATGGCCTAATAACAAAAGGTTTTTCAGCCATGTAAATAAAAAGAGAACAAGGAAAGAAGTGGGCCTGAAATACACCAAGGTGTTAAAAGATATTAAAGATATGTGTACCCCCGGTTGAAAACCCCTGCCTTAGGAGAACTCTAAAGCTAAATGGAGTTTTGCTTCAATTTTCAGTAAGAATTATGATGTTGAACACTGCAATAATGTCAGGATGGATACTGGAAATAAAATATGGAAACGGAAATTATCTCAACCAAGATGGAAGCAAAGCTCAAAGTTTACCAAACTCAAATCAGGGGACCAGATAATTTTCATTCCCAAATTTTGAGAAATTGCCACAGATCCAGTTGCAAATATTTGCAATAAAGCCATCAGACTGGAGAATAGCAAGCATACTATCTATATTTTAAAATATTTTCAAAGTGATTTTGACAAAGTGATTTAGTCTGACCACACTACTGTGAAAAGACTTCAAAAAAAATTGGAAGGAAGGAATAAATAAAGACATGAATGTAAATGAAAAATAGGGTAATCGGATATTTTTCTTTGATAAGAAAACTGACATTTGAAGCCAGGGGTGGCAACCTTTAGGACTAGGGCATTAAAATAATGCCACCTAGCCAGTGCTTCTGACCTTTCTGTTAATACCACCATGCATTTGAATCCGCACCACTGCCACAAAAACCCTACCTGCCTCTAAATCCTTACTGATATCCAGGCTTTATGAGCCAGATAAAATCAGTAAAGCTACATGGGAAACTGTTAGTAAAAATGGTAAGGTGGATAAAGAAGCAGCTGAAGAGGGAGATGACAATGGGTAGTGATGAATTAATTATGTACCTGAAAGGAAACTGTTAGTACATTTCCTCAAGGATCATTCTTGGGACCACCAACATTTCATATTTTCCTTACTGACCTTGACAAAAAGCATGAATGTGCTGATGAAATTTGCTGTTGTTAGAAAGCTGAGAGTCATCATCAATAGAAAGGAGGATCAGGATTATATGTAAGAAAAATTGGATGTCCAAGGGCTACAGAAACAAGAATGGGATGTAATTAAATAACAGAATGCGAGGCCATACACTTAGGAACCAATAGGGAGAGTTTTTGCTACTTTCTGGGGATTCATCTCTGAAAAAAATGGAGGAGAGAAAAGACCTCTGTTCACTAGTTGATCACAAGATGATTATTATGAACTGTCCATGTGGTGTAGCTATTTAAAAGACAAATTTTATTCTATGATGTAAGTCGTCCATCTGAACTGGTATTACCAGTAATAATGTCAGTATCAAGGCTCTGATGACACCTCATTTGAATTAATCTGGTCATCCAAGCTCAAGAAATATGAATCCATACTGGAAGAAGTATGCTAGAAGTGTGCTAGAAAGGCAGCTGGCAAGCCTTCAGGCTGGGGTGGAAGGGGTTGGAGGGAGAGCTGTAAGTTCCCCCGCACCACAACTTAGATACAGCCTCTTTGCTACAACAAGCAGGTATGAGGCTTCCACTAGTTGTACAGGCAGCAAGGAGAGGGGAGCAGTGCCACTGCCTGTGCCTGAGACTGCATCCTTTCCAAGAGCACCAGCCATAACCTCCCCATCCCACTACCACCATGACAACAAGCAGCAGCACCAGCATGACAGTCTCCTCCACCCCCATTTCACGTCCCATGCTGAGCCTTCCAGTGCTGGAGGAAAAGCTGGAGCTGTATCTGGATCTGAGTGCCCTAGCAAGGGAAATTTTGAGAAAGGAGGGGAAATCAGCTGAGTTTGTGCTCCACACCCCTCAAATTTTCCCTAGAAATTTCTCCTTTCCCAGAAGGCACTCCTTTCCCAGGTCTCCTTTCCCAGAAGGCACTTCAGAGGAGGCTGATTTAGAGGTTGCAGAGGCAAGCAGCTCAGCTGAGTCCGCTCCTCCTGTTGCTGTGCCTTTGCCTGCTGAGGAGGGGAAAATTGCAGCATCCACACATGCACCCACAACTGCACTGCAGAAGTGAGTGGGTAATGTGGTCTGGGATCATTTTGAGCTGGCAGATGATCCCACATATGCTATCTGCCTGCACTGCTGAGCCAAAACCAGCCGGGGCAAGGGAAGAAAACACATGAGCACCGTGGGGATACTGATGCATCTCCACAGGCACCACCCTCTTGCCCTTGCGCCTCAGCCTGGCACCAGCAGGAGCAAGCCCAAAGGGAAGTCCCCCTCTCGCTCCAAAGCTCCCGGTCCCCCAAAGCAGAGACAGGCCACCCTGGAACAGTGAGGGAAAGGCAGACAGAAAGGGAGGCACATTGCAAGGCCAAGCGAGATCACCCAGAGCATTGGGGAGATGATTGCTGTGGATGGCCAGCCCTTCTCCCTAGTTGAGCAGCCAGGGTTCAGGCGGCTCATGGCGGTTGTGGTGCCAGCATACCAAGTCAGCAGGAAGGTGGTGCCCTCCCTGTATGAGGCATGCAGGGAGTA